AGGGAGTGAAAAGATGATTGAAAGAGAACATCTGGGAGCCGTGTGTGGGTGTATCGGAAGAAGAGAAGTGTGGTCAGACTGCCACAGAGGAGACCTGTAGGCAAAGACTGAGTGTCCTTGGACTGGGAACCGAGAGAGTGACCTTTCAGTGGGATGGTGGAGGTGGAAGCCAGGTAGCCTTGGTTGAAGAACTTGAACCTGTTTCAATAAGCATTCAAGTTCGTTATGATCATGGAAAGAGGTCTGATCTCAGGGACCTAGATGGATTCCCGGGAATGAAGGGAAAGAGCTGGTCAAGTAAGTCGGGGCCACGTCATGGGGCCCTTGGGGGCCAGGGGTTGAGTTATGGGTACGGTGAGCTCCAGTGCTCTGCTCTCAGGCTGATGTTAACTTGAGAAATGAGCAGATTACGAGGAGAAGGGTGGACAGGTGGGGTGAAGGCTGGGACAAGGCCAGTTCTGTTTTTATAGTCCTGATGATATTTGACAGCTCTTTTAACGACAGAATGATGAGAATGTGTGGCATTCTCTCTCCCTGGGGAAAATATGGCCACTGAGAAAGGTCACAGCTAATAGGAAAAAAATGAATTTTATTGCTTAACTGTGGGTTTCGTTTACTTGTGTTCTTCCTGTTTCCCTTGCCACATGTTTTCTGAATCGACTCATTGACGAGGCCAAGTTTCTGGATACGAGTATGTGTTTACCAGAAAATGCTCTGCAATCCTTCTTCACCCTGAAAATATTAAACAACAACAACAGCAACAAAGACTGCATGCATGCAAAAGTGTAGCTAGTTTAGGCTTGTTTTTGTATTGTCTTAGTTTGTAAAGAAGAACTATTTGGGGCTCAGTGTGACGGTTCAGAGCAGGGTTTCTCAACCTTGGCACAGTTGGCATGTTGAACCTGTTGGTTCTTCGTTGTGCATTGTAGACTGGTTAGCAGCATCCCTGGCCTCCACCCAGATGTTTGCAGCACCTTTATCCTCCAGTTGTGACAAGTGAAAGTATCTCCTACCATTACTCAAAATCCCCGGGGTGGGGAGTGGGGGGAAAGGCAAAATTGCCCTAGATGGAGAACTATTGGTTTCAGAGGAGTGTGGTGATTTTATCGGGAAATAACCACTTCCTCCTGCTATAGTACGGATGGTTTCACTGAAGCTCGTGGACCCTGCAAAGCTTTTTCTTGCCAGAAGAAAATTAATGCATGTTTATAAATTCTTTTGTTGAAAGTTTATTTTAAAATATTTAAAGAAAAAGGAAATGCTACTTTGCTGGTTGCCTAACCGTCCATTTGCTGACCGCACTTTTCCACTGTGGCATTCAGTTCCTGGATCCGCTCCATGTGATTGTGTCAGGATAGTATTGGTTGTTTCTTCTGGGCCTTTATGCCCTCAATGCAAAGGATATTGTGAATCAGGAAGTTTCCAAATAGTAATGCCAGGTTAGACCTGGGTGTGAAAATATGGATTTCATTGCAGGGCCTGGATTCTTGTGTTAGACCTGATGCCTTCTAGCTTCGAGCAAGCCACTGTGCTCTTTCTGTGCAAATTTCCTCCTCTGCGAAATGAACGAGATAATCTATATTATCATTAAGTTTGCTTCGAGTTCTAACCATCTAAGGTTGAAAACGTTTGATTATTTCTTTCTGACCCCATGACATATCCTCCAATGCAGGGCACCCCAAAATGTGCTTTGCAGGTCACTGGTGATCCATAGACCACGATGCTGGTCTACAATGGAGGGCAAACAATTAGAGATGCTTTTCTTTTAAAAAAAATGTTTTTATTTTTTTAAGAGAGAGAGATAGAAACATCCATGTGAGAGGGATACATCAATCAGCTGCCTCCTGATTACCTCCTACTAGGAATCAAGCCAACAATCCAGGCATGTGCCCTGAACGGGAATCGAACCGGGATCTCTCAGTCCATGGGACAACACTCCATCCACTGAGCCACACTGGCAGGGCTAAAAATGCTTTTTATAATTCAACACAGTAATTCTATGCCTGTTAAATAATAATATTAAAAAAAATAATAATAACAATAACCTTGGGCTTATATTTTGTCCTTGTCTTTTTAATTTAATTTTTCTAGTAATTCATTTTTATTATAGTTTATGGAAGTACTAGTTCACAATGGATTGGAAGAACAAAACAAATAGTCTCTCACCAGAGGTAGTTTGAGGAGCATTGTTTCCATGTATAATGGGAAATTTTCTTTGCCTCCCTTTCTACTGTAACCGGTAAGAGATATTTAGTATATTGCTCCTCTGAGGTTTAAATAAAAAGAAAGGCAACATATTGTCTGTCTGCTGTATTAGCAGCATAAAGGCGGCAGCTGATGGAATGTATGATAAAGAAATTAGCCTTATAGAGAATCAGAAGTAATTCTGGAGTAAACCCGAGGTTCTTTTTGATTGCATGTATGTTATGTGTATGTGTCTTCACATAGCTTGTGTTATTGTCTGGCATTAGGATAACATGTTTATCTTAGGACATGAACTGAAGAGCAGTGAACATAGCCTTTTAAAAATTATTTTATTCCCTAGAATCCCTTTAGATCTGAAATCTACCATAATGCTTGGTATACTGGAGTCTCCCAAACTGGCCGATGCTGGTGCGGGTAGGCGAAGAAGGAAAACACGGGTTATCCTCACTGAAGAGATTAGCACAGGGGTTTTCGAATCCCTTCTGTCACTCAGACTCATCCAGCCCGTGGGAAACTCCATTATGTGGAGTCAGGTGTGGTAGACCGACATGCAAACAACGGTCGTTAAGCAGTAAAGCCCTTTACAGTTTGACCTTGGTCTTCACATGTTGAAATAGGGCAGAGGAGCCAGACTTCCAACTGACAGTTATTTGAAGCAGAAAACATCGCTGGATTCCCTGCACGGAGGACCACTTGTTCCAGTAGCTTGTGTTCCACTTTGAGGGGAATCATCCCGAGGCCCCGCCCACTGCTGGGAGCCCCGCGTGCATGCCCCGCCTTATTAGGGTCCATCTCCTGGCCCGCGGTTCCCTCTCGGTCTACGTGGGTTTGGTAGTGGCTTCCTGCTGCCCAGCAAAGGGCCAGAGCTCTGTCTGCCCTATTAGCAGCAGAAAATCACCCTTTCTTTCCGTTTTTTTTTTAATCCAGAGGATGAAATATATAACATATTTGGAAACTCCAGTGGAGGACTTGGCAGGCGTTTCATATTTACTTGGACTTCACATGAGTTGGATGCGGTCCTCTGATTTCCCCGCCTCCCTCCCTCGGAACAAGTTATTTATTATCCGAGTGAGTGTGCGCTGGCGGATCAGACATGCACATGGCACGTCGATCGCAAGTGCATTTGTTCGGGGAGATTTATGTGAGCCCAAATTGTTTCATATTGGTTTTCATTGTTGAAAATTTACTGTATTCATCCTGGGTTTGGCGTAAGGACGTGTAGTGTGCTCCGAGTTCCTGTGGTTGGACATTTTATCGCTGTAACACTTCATGCAAAGGAAATTAAAAAATATATAGTGAAAGCGTTTCCCTAATATGTTTCCAATCAGCTGTGTACTTTGGTAATTTGATTTGTAGGAACTCGAGAGGAGAGTACTACTGAGCTCTTTTCAGTCATTCATAATTCTCTGGGAATTCGGATCGTGGTTCCAAGTGCGTGAAAATGTCTGTCGACGTTTTCTGAAGGAAGCCCTTTATTATTCTGTTTGTATGTGTTAGCGGTTTGTGTTGTTGTTGCTATTGTTGCCACAGCGGTATCTAAAGGAATTCAGGGACGGAGGTGAGGCTGCTCTCTGTTAGCTTGGACAAGAGAAAGGGATGTGAGTTGAGGTTGATTGGCTTGCCAGAAGTCAATCACTGGTGCCGAGAGGCGGGTCCTTTTACTGCTGCATTGTCCCCTGTATCTATTCCCGCTTCTGTGCTCTTTGGGCTAAGCAATCAGACTCTAACTGGTCAATTCCTTTGCCCGGTGGGCTCCAAATGATTTGATATGCAGTGTCTAGAGGCATAGCCAATGTGGGACAGCCCCAAAAGTGTCACACACAGGTTGGAGGTGTTATTTGGACAAACTAAGTCAAGATCCAGGCTGTGATCCTTTGCATCGTCATTTCTTTGGCTCTTTCTACAAGGACTTAAGGGTTCTGGCTTGTTACCTCTTTTGAGCATCTCTGGCCTTTGTCTTGTGTTTTTTCCAATGAGTGAGCATGACTTCTGTTCTGGCTAGTGAATTAATATGTGATAATCTATACATTGGTAGTTGCAGATTCCCTTTATCTAGTTCACAACCTGAAAGTAAAATCAAAGCGAAATATGAAATCATAGCTCTCAGAGCTGGGAGGCAAGACTTGGAATGTTTCAGCTGGTGAAGACCGTTGCTTGTCAAGAGTCATTTAAAAAAATATTTTTCTTTATTGATTTTAGAGCGAGAGGAAGGGAGAGGGAGAGAGAGATAGAAACATTGATGAGAGAGAACATCGATTGGCCGCCTCCTGCATGCCCCCCACTGGGGATCCACAATCTGGGCTTGTGCCCTGACTAGGAATTGAACTGGCGACCTCTTGGTGCAGGAGTCTTAGGTATAGAATTTTTCAATTATTCCCTATATTTTAATTTGCTGCTTTTATATCCTACTACATTGTACACTTCTCTCTTGACCTCCAGCAGTTTGAGTCCATTTGGTTTTGTGTAAGACCCTCTTCCACGGTGTTATTCTAGCCCCCGCCCCCCTCATGCTTCACTGGGCATAAATAAAGTCGCGCACGAGGTGATGCATTTTGGCCAAGAGAGCTCATCAATCCATGGTTTTTCATTGGAAAATGCAGTGTGGGCGGATAATCTTCTCAGTCGTCAAAGAATTAATGTCAGTGAAAGCCAAGTGGAGATGTAAAAAGCTTAGCTGCATTTTGGGGAAAATAGCCAAGGAGGATGATGGGTCCTGTGATTGGCAGGCCTGGCTTAGGTGCCTGACTTCGCTCGCTCATTGTCGGCCTGTCTTCCTGCCTCCGTCTCGGGTCTAGGTTGCACCTACGATGGAAACACCTACAACAGCTCCTTCAAGTGGCAGAGTCCAGCCGAGCCCTGCGTCCGGCGCCAGTGCCAGGTAAGTCAGGCGTGGTCCTCTCCCGGGAAGGGGGATCTGCAAAGTCCTCCTCACACGTCCCTTTGAGATCACATAGAAAAACAAAACCAAGCAGCAAAAACCGACTGTATTCTTGTGTCTGTTTCTCATGACCTTCACCCAAACAAGACAGTACAGGCTAGATAGGGTGTAGGACTTGCTTCCAGAAACACGCAGGGAGTGTTCGCCGTTGTAAAACCGCGCCTGGAAAAGCTCCTAGAAGATGCATGTCCTTGGGGAGCATTCATGTCTTCCTGTGAGCCAGCTTGCAGCAGGACACACATTCCTGTTAGCAGAAAGAGGTACTGCGAGCGGATATAGGTTTTCCTTCTTTGATTCAGAAACATTTTGAATGGGAGCCAATCTGTACACTGTATTCAGTCAAAGCAATTAGCATCCTGTAACCTCAATGATTTCAACCCAACAAATTTAAGAGCCACCGGGTCAGCCCACCGTGGTGCGTGCTTGCTGAACTTGGAACAGAGCGCCGACCCCAGGTGCTCTCAGATCCTTACAGGGCCCAACACAGCCAGGTCAGCTGAGAGGCAAATGAAGAAGCTAAATTTTCAAATGCCTGTCCCTTAAGAAATGCTCTTTAAAAAAAAAATGCTCATTAAATTCTGACATAGTTTTAAAATTCTTCTTGTGGAGAAGATGCTGCTAAATCATTTTACCCCCGCCCCGTTTCACTGTCCAAGGTTAAGCTTTTGTGTTTAAAGGAGAAAGAAAGGTTAGTGTAATAATGTATATTTCTCTCTGATTTTATCTCACGTATATGTACATTTAGTTTATTGCGATCTGAATTTTATCTATTCATGTTCTTATTAAATGCCCACCGTGGTCATGTTCTCTTGTAAGATCTTCGGTGATTTATTCAGTGAGATATTCAGCTTATTTATGTAGTACATCTGAATTGTTTGGGAAAGTAAGTAGTAAGTAGAATAGATATAAATAGGAGATTCATTGAATAAATGAGTATTTTTGAATTTTTACTCTGGATTATAGAGTCAGTCAGCTTCATGGAACAGCGACAAGAAAAATAAGGTGTTTTTTTCCTTTTTATTGAATTTATTGGGGGTGACACTGACTAACAAAATTATACAGGTTTCAGGGGCACAATTTCACCACACATCATCTGTACACTGTATTGTCAAGTCTCTGTCCATCACCATTTATCCCCCTTCACCCTCCTCACCTCCCTCCCCTCCCCCACAGCACCCCACTGTTGTCCATGAGTCTTTTCTTTTTTCGCTCCATTCCTTCCACCTCCCCCAGCCCCCCAGCTCTCCCCACCTCCCCAGCCCCCAGCTCTCCCCACCCCGACAGCTGTCAGCCTGCTGTCTGTGAGTCTGTCTCTATTTTCTTGTTAGAAGAATAGTGAGTTTTAATAACACCAAAAGCCCACATTTGGCTCTGGCTGGTTTGGCTCAGTGGTTAGAGCGTTGGGCTTGGGGACCAAAGGGTCTCAGGTTTGATTCTCATTCAAGGGCACATACCTGGGTCACAGGCTCAACTGGGGGTCGTGTGGGAGGCAACCAATAGATGTGTCTCTCTCATATTGATGCTTCTCTCTCTCTCTCTCCCTTCCACTCTATCTAAAAAACCAATGGCAAAATATCCTCGGGTGAGGATTAACCAAAACAGAAAAGCCCACCTTTGTTCTAAAATTTGCACCAGCCCATCCCCACCCTGCTCTTCGACCAGCGACATTCACACTCTCTGGGGCACTCTGACAGCCAGGGTTAGAGTCTTGGAAACAAGGCCGCTGCAAGCCCTGTGGAGTGTAGCGACAAATTTATACAGTGGTCAGAGGTTTGAAGATCCGACGTCGCAGTGGCCAGTGGTGAATTTGGATGCAGACTATTTTAATTAAATGAAAACTACCATCTGGGAGGGAATATCTTGTTGACTGAATAACACATCAAACCATTATCCGTTAGCATCAGAACTCCTCCTGCCTATCATCGGAGTCTCTAGCCCCACAGCAGGGCCCAGAGAGAATGATGCAGAAAAAAGCAAACCCTTATTAGAAGAGATCTTCAAGACCAACAGCCCTGGGAGTCAGGGACAGCTGGCCGGCAGCGTGGAGCCCAGAAGGAGACGTTCCCTCCCCCGATGAACTTTGCCTTTTAGGTGTCCTCCCTTTAAAAAAGCTTTACCCAAGCCCCGCTCACTGATTTAAAAACACCATTTCGTTCAGTAACCATCGAAGCAAACCCGTGGTAAGGTAGTTGCACAGATCTGCTCTGCTCAGCTGGTGCCAGCCCACCCTGCTGACCTTCTCCCTCTCTAGGGAGGAGACCTCATCCATGAAGGCAGGTCGTGGCCACTGCCTGCACCTGCCAGGGAAACCCTTGTGGAAGATGCTCTTATGCAGAATGACAGAATGGCAGCCTCTCTCCCAGCTCGTCTTCACAGAACACAGATTCGGTGACAGAGGAGAGAGCGCAGTGCAGTGAGGGAAGTGTGATTTATTGCTTCACCTCTCTGGACCTCACTCTCGTCCCCCACAGAATACAGGTAGTGCGCCCTGCTAGGTGGTTGTCAGCAGTGAAGAGGTGGGCATGAAAACCACCTCTGGTGGAGCCTGCCTGTCCCGGGTCAACCAGGTACCAGACAGTTAGCCGCTGCTCCGAGATCTTGTTCATTTCCATTTGAGTTGCATCCGAGCTGGTGTCTTACATCCTCCTACCAAAGGAGTTCTGGGGGTGAAGACCTGACCTTTATTGTCTGCTGTTGGTTTTTAACTGGAAGAGGACACTCTGAAGAAAACAGGCGGGATGCTCATGCTGGGAACTGACCTGACTTCTCCATCTGGAGGGCAGATCAAGGGACTTGACCTTGAGCTTGGCCCTCTGCGTTGCTCCAGCCCCGTAACCAAGGCGCCGGTCCTTCTGGGTGTCCATTGCAGCACCGTGGTCGTTGGTTTTTCCTTTCCTAAGGTGACATAGACCACAGTAAACATCACCGGTGGGAGCCGCAGGCCTGACGGACGTGAAGATTTGAGGGAAAAAACCTTCCTTGTTGGATGGAGATGATATGGTAGCAGATGCGATGAAGAAAATGACCTAGTTATCAAATTGTGACATCATTTTCAGCCTCAAAACAGGACAGAAGAAACACACAAATCCATCTATAAAAAGGGTCGAGAGCATGGTAAAAATTCTTCAAAAGGCAACTCTGAAAATTAATTTTCAAAATGTTCACCTGACATTAAAATGTTAGAGTCCCAAGATCAGTTTGCAGATGAGTCACTTGATTTCATCGTTAAGACCTCAAGTCTTTATTTTGACATGTGTGTTATGAGCTCTAAAATTGTTTTATCGAATCCCTTTAGTTGAGGCTGGAGAGCTGGTTTCCGTGGGAGGCAGAGAGAACTTTCTAAGGTTGCAGGGCTGGTCTTGTTATTTCTAGAAGGTGGGCAGGATTTGGGTCGCCAGAGGCCAGTCTAGGATATTACGGCTGTCCTCCGCCTCATGATTAATGGCTTAAAGTATAAAAACAGTGATAGAAAGTACAATCAGTGTTGAAAACCTACAACAATTGTGAGTGGACAGTGAGGCTCTGTCAGTGCTGACTGACAGCAAGGCCTTTTTAAAAAAGATGTATATGTTATTGACTTTTTTAGAGAGAAGGGGAGAGAGAGAACATCGATCGGCTGCCTCCTGCACGCCCCCTACTGGGGATCGAGCCTGCAACCCGGCCTGTGCCCTGACCAGGAATCGAACCAGGACCTCTCAGTCCAGGGGACAGTGCTCCATCCACTGAGCCACACCGGCGGGGCAGCAGCAGGGTCTTAAACACTAGATTCAGAAGAAAGAAAGAGATTAGGCCAGAGAGAAAGGCCACGGGCAGGGCAAAGAGCAATGACGGACTAGTGCTCCGAGTTCCAAGCCATCCAGGGGCCGAGCCAGGGAGCTGGGCCCGTGGGTGCTCGCACCTCTGGACCTGGCGCCGACCCTTGCTTCGCGCTCCGACTCTCCTCCAGTTACCTCGTCTCTTCCCCACGCGAAGAGCTCAGGGGCACTCTGGGCTGACTCTGCCCCTGGTGCTCTGTTTTCCAGGAAGGCGTCGTCACAGAGTCCGAGCTGCGCTGCGTCGTGCATTGTGAGAACCCTTCCAGGCACCTGGGAACATGCTGCCCCACCTGTCCAGGTAAACCTCCCAGGAAGGGGCGGGGTTCCCGCCCCGCGCGGTCCCGTCAACCTCGGAGCTGCCTCGAGAATGCGTGACTTTCCCCTTTTCTCCCTGGACTTTTCCTGGCTTCACGTGTGCACTTAGTGAGTTTAGAGCGCAAACTGCTTCGCACGTGGAAATGCAAAGCCCGGTGAACGTGTGGCGCCGCCGGTCTTGCGCGTGGGCGCCGGAGGCTCCGAGGCCGGCTTTCCACTCCCCGGGGCGCAGGTAACGTGTGTTTTGGAAGGAGAGGCGGGGGCTTTCCCTCGCTACCAGAAATGTCTTTTTACTGCTCCAGTCTGCGGCCCGTGGGCCAGAGCTGGCCTTGGTGATGAGGTAACCAGATGTTTTCTGAAAACTGAGAGCCACGTCCCTGAGGGAATCGGGCCTGGGCTGAGCCGGCCTCAGCGGTCACTGGGGCAGCGAGTGGGACCCACTGTCTTTTCCGAGGGCTTCACCCCAGCTGACAGCGAGGGCTCTGTCGTTTCCGGGGGCTGGGTGTCTCCTCTGCCTTCTGCACAGGACGGGCCTCCTGCACCTCTGCTTGCCCTCAGGGATGAGCCTGGGATGTTGAGTGAGAGATTTTTTCCTGATCCCTTAAGCCCCTGGCCAGAACGCTTAGACAGATGTTCTGCATTTTGGGTTCTCCTCGGAGTGATTTTCCTCGTTGGAGGCCACACTCACAACTCTTCCTGGCTTTGAGGTTAATCTCCAAAGAGCCTTCTGTAGTGCAAATCTTCCTGGGACCAGGCTGAGGCCTCACGCTGGTCGCTTTGCCAAGGTGAGGATCCCCGCTCCGGCGCCTGCCACTCCCCGCCACGTGGTCTGAAATGTCGAGAACTGAGTCCCTTCTGAGGCCCCTTCTTTTCTTGTCTGTGAATGACGTAAGGACAGTCCCTCTCCGCCACTTCTGACCTTCCTAGGTCCCGGCGCCATCTGGATCGAGCCAAACTTCCTTTCCGCAGCGAGGTTTCTGTGGAACATCACCATGCGGACCAAACCCGGGCTGATTATCACGTCCATAATCCAGTTACTGCCTGTCTATCAAACAGTTTGTCTGAGTATTTTCTTTCTCTGAATGCATTAAATATGCTTTGTATCTCATCACCATCCTCTGAAATGAGTAAACAGTCGGTATCAAGTTAGATCGCTGGTTCTCTAGGCTGCACAGTATCACCCGGGAAGCTCTCAAAAATAAATCTCGGTGCCCAGGCTGCATTGCAGATCAATTCCATCGAAGTCTCTGAGGCTGGGGCCCAGCCCGCCCAAGCCATTCCAAGCTTAAAATTGATAACAGAGCCGATGTTTTCTGCTGCGTAGATTTAGAAATTATCCTAGCTCTTAAATAGGAATTCGGTTGCGTGGCGTAGACTGTTGCTTCGCTGACACAGAACCAACTCGGCATGTATAACATTCCTCCTCCTCAGGAGATCGTCCTATTTCTGTCTGCCTTTGGAAGTGTGGGCGTGCCAACATCGGAGTGAATTTACGCTAGCCGTTGAAGTTATCGTATTTGAGCAACTGCTTCTCCCACTTCGTTTTTGGTGGAGTTCCCAAGAAGGGAAGGCTGAACTCCATGGCTGTGGATACTACAGGTTGAGGCTCAGGGCCCTCCAGGGGGGCTGGGTGCTCTCCGAGGTTCACAGAAGGAGGAATGAGATGCAGGGAGACAAGGCTGAAGGTGGGGGTGGGCTGCGGCTTCTTCTCTTTCTTGGCCACCATCCTGCACCCCCCTCGCCCACACACCATGACCGCTGTCCTGCCCGGTTCCAGGTGTCCCGAGAGGCAGATGTGCAGCGTTAGCACGGCAGCGCCACGCCCGGGGACCTGTGCCCTCGACGCTGGGCTCGAGATCGACTTTGCTTCCTCTCCTGCTTCTTTTTTCTCTTTTCCTCCTGTTCTCCACTTCAGAGGCCGAGTTTGGGCTGCAAATAGGAAGAGTCAGAAGAGGCCACATCCATAGCAACCAATGTCACCCCAATAAATTTAATTAAAAAAAAAAAAGAGGCCACGTCCCGAATGCCTCGCCCCTTGTCCGGGGGGACAGACTCGGCCAGGACCGGGGAGGGGCCGTCGGGGAAGCTCGGAGCGTCGCCTTGGTAATGCAGAACTGGCGTCTGTCGTTGATCACGGGATGCATTCCGCAGAATGACGAGCACGCGCAGCCTGTGGTCAGCTTCCTCCGGAGACGGATTTCGGGGCATTCTTGGTTGTCTGCTCCTTCTCACTGACTCTGCTGAAGGAGGGTGGGTGGGGATGGCAACAGTTTGCATGGGATTTTCGTGTGAAACCCCCTGTTTAAGTTGTCAGATGTAGATGGTTGTGGTTGACAGGACCGGTGGTGCAAACATAGGGAAGCACGGAAGTCCCTCTGTTGGCAGTGTCCTTTTCAAAGAGAGGACCAGGTACCTGCCATCCTGAGCAGACAGCGACGGCCACCAGGACGGACCCGGGGCTACAGGCCTCCCGCACCCATGGGCACCGCAAGGAGGGGGCGGGGTGTCGGTCCAGACTGCAAACCAGCCTCACTCAGCTCTGCAGCTTCAGACTTGGTGGCATTTGTCTCCGGGTCTTTCTCTTGATCGAAGGGCTCTGCAGCTAGCCTTAGAGTGTCAGGTCCAGCAGCCAGGTCAGGTGGGTGCAGGTAACGCTTGTTCTCCCCGGAGGGGACCAGCGGCTTCAGGAGTTGGGCGGGGTCTGTGGGTGAGTTCAGTTGACGAGCACTTACTCCCCAGGGCCTGATCCGGCTTCCGCAAGAGCCCCCTGCCGCGCCGTGGCCACTGGTGCTCCGTGGTCCGCTGTGCGGAGGGTGACCTCAGCGATCCTGGCAAAGCGCCCCCCGAGGGCACACCTGAGTGAGGTGGCTCTGCCATTAGTGACAGTCCTCTGGGCCTGTGTGACATGGCATTACTGGCCAGCCTGTGCTTTCGATCATTGGTGAGATCTGCCAAGAATGTGTCAGCGTCCTGAGCATCGTAATGAGCGGGAAACGCCTCCTGGGCCTATTTTAACCAGACTCGCTGGGAGCCGCAGCCCTTTAACAGGACACGGGGGGCCTGGAAACCTGTGTGGTACCCCCTGACCTGCCTTGGCCGCCTCTTCTTGTCTTGACACCTGCCCCTCTGTATGGTGTGGCCAGTGAGTCAGAGCAGAGTTCAAATCCCAGCTCAGCCACCTGCCAGTGGGTGAGTTACTTCTCTCTCAGCCACATCTTGCCCAGCGGGGGACAGGGACACAAGTCCCCACTTTGTAGGCGCACTGTGCAGGTGGAGTGAGATCGTGGGTCTAGAGGGCCTGGAAGAGGTGGGGCCATTCCTGGGGACCCACCAAGTCGCAGCTCTTCATGTCATTTCCTCTGTAGCTCATCACTGACCTCTCACGGAGACTTCTGTTTGCTTCTTGCGGTCCCTCTGGGCTGTGGGCCCCCAGCCGCGGTCAGTGAGGTCATGGTGAGTCCCTCCGACTGCAGGGCGCACCCCGTGCGCTGATCCCTGGTCGCCCGCAGGCTGGCCCAGGTCCAACCTCTGCGCCTTCCAGCGCTCAGCTCTCTGGGCCCTCGTCAGTCTGTTGTACTCTTGTGTATTCGGTGTCTTTTCTTCTTTTTCTGTGAAGCAATATTGCCGTCTGGTTGAGGAGGACACTCTGCGAGGTGGAGGCGGAGAGGGGGACGGATGAGCAGTGGTTAGAAGGAGAGTGTCGAACCGAACCCAGACTGCTGCCGAATTCCACACTCTTCTCTGCTTTCCAGGCTGTGTGTTCGAGGGTGTGCAGTACCGGGAAGGGGAGGACTTCCGGCCAGAAGGAGACAAATGCACCAGGTGTTCCTGTGCTGTAAGTACTGCCCTGGGCGGCCCACGGACGTTCCTTCGGGGTAACTGTGCCGGGACCCACCGAGAGCAGCCCCGCTCCCCTCTCCGTCCTGGGGAACCGGGGAGAGCTCGTGTCCCTCGGCAGGTCTCAGCCCCGGCACTGTTGGCTCTGGGCATGGTCCGTCCTTGTGGTGGGGCTGTGCTGTGCATCGTAGGGTGTTTGGCAGCATTCCTGGCTGCTACCCATTAGATTCTAGTAACACTCGTGCCCCACGCGTCTGCAGACATTGCCACGTGTTCCCTGGGAACTAGCCACTCCTGTTTGAGAAGCACCCGTCTAAGGACTGAGGGGAAGAGGCTGACGTTCCTCCACTTGCCGTCCCTTTGGAAGACATGGTTCTCTGCTCTTTGGCCAAAGAAGCTTCTCGCTGAAGCAGCTGTTGAGTTCTTTAGTGCAGTCAAGTGGGAAGCAGACGGGGTCAGCTTGCCCCGGGGTGTCCTGTGTGGTGAGAGAGGTGTCCTGTGTGGTGGAGGACTGGTCAGTTCCGCTGGAGGAAGGGGCGGAGCAGGGATCAGTGAGGCGGAGCCACAGACCGGCCTTTCCGGGTGCCGTTGACTTGCATTCATGTGCAAGGGTGTCCTCCGAGGGCTAAGGATCGGAAAAAAGGAACTTGGCTGATGTTATGGTATGAAGGGGATCCTTTTTATTTATGTATTTCAAATTTGGAGTAAAATCACTGGTGATGGTGGTGGTCATGGTGATGATGGGGAACCTAGTCTTAACCAGCCGTTCCAAGTTATTTACACCATATACTTTTAAAGCTTCTAATCTTTTGTAATAAAGAACATGCAGTGTGCATCTCAGAATATTAAAAATAATGGGGAGCTCGAGTACCGTCATTTCACTAAAGTAGAATCATGTGTGGTTCATCGTAAATCAGCATCTGTCACTTCTCTATGTTTCTTTGCTAAAATCTTTCCCCTTTCTATAGCATATATGTTTTAGAGTCCAGAGTAAACATGACTAAGGTGAGGGTGTTTTTGTGTGAGGAAAGGGGAGGAAAAGAAGGAAGGGAGGGAGGGAGACTGGGAAAGAGAAGAGATATATAATATATATAATGTGTGTGTATATATATGTATATATAATATGAGGTATATAATCCACATCATATTGTAATAATATATAAAAACAAAAGTAATTTACTAGTGAAGATGAACAAGATTTTGCATATTGAGAGTCAACGTCCATGTATTTCCTCTCTTGCTAATATGGTTAAATAGCTTTGTGTTATTTTTTACCTGTATAATTTCTATTTGCCATTAAATATTGCTCATTTCTCAATTCTATTTCTTTCATATTGGTAGCTATAAAGTTTTCTGATAATTTTTTAAGAATACTTTTTTATTGATTTGAGAGAGAGAGAAACATCAGTGTGAGGGAGAAACTTTAATTGGTTGCCTCCAGCACACCTCCCAACCAGAGATCGAACCTGTAACCTGGGCACGTGCCCTGACTGGGAATCGAACCAGCGACCTTTTGTTGCATGGCATGATGCTCAACCAATGAGCCACGCTGGCCGGGGCTGGTCATTTTTCTTTTTTATGCATCTCATTCTTTTGGGTCGATTGAGGAAAATCAGGGCACTTCTCAGTAGGAAATTTTAAATCCACACCTGAACAAACTGTCTTTCCCAGAAAGGTGTGCCAGTGTGCCAGGTGTGCCAGTGTGCCAGGTGTGCCAGTGTGCCAGGTGTGCCAGGTGTGCCAGGTGTGCCAGGCTGGCAGATGAACTTCCTGGCGGAGGAAACTGAGAAGGTGGAAAGGAAGATGGAAGGTCCTGTTGATTTGACAACAGTCATACCGAGTTATTTAGTCACATGCATTCACGGCATTCAGATTTCGTGTCTTTCTTTTCTTTCTTTCTTTCTTTCTTTCTTTCTTTCTTTCTTTCTTTCTTTCTTTCTTTCTTTCTTTCTTTCTTTCCTTCCTTCCTTCCTTCCTTTCTTTCTTTCTTTGTTTCTTATTCTTTATTGATTTTAGAGAGAGGGAGGAAGAGAGAGAGAGAAACATCGATGAGAGAGAACATCAATTGGCTGCCTCCTGCATGCCTCCCTCCCCCACTGGGGATCTGGCCCACAGCCTGGGCATGTGCCCTGACTGGGAATCAAACCAGTGACCTCTTGGTGCATGGGTGGATGCTTAACCACTGAGCCACACCAGCTGGGCGATTTCCTGTGTTTCTAAACACAATGTGTGTTTAACAAAACACAACCGGGAGCCAACGTCAGGCTGCTGGAAGTCCTGCTTTCTTCTTTGATTGAAGTAATAAAAATTCAAAGGTGTTAACTGCCCAATCTTTTCTGCTCAGTGAGTTCTCTCCAGACCTACGTTCTGTATCATTTTCTACGTCCCTACACATAATTCCTTATGTTCTTATATTCCTAGTCCTAATCCGATTTCCTTTCTGGTTCTCCATGTTGCCCCCCAGCACCCAAGGGGCAGCTAAGGGCTTTGATTCTGACCCTGACGTCCACCTTCCCACTGACAGGATAACTGGAAGGAGGACGGAGCCCGAGCTTGGGGGTGGGATGTTTGTGAGTAAACTCGGGTCTGGGCAGGGCCGGCAGAGCTGTTTTGTTTTTGGGAATATAAAACTTTGAGGTGTAATCTTTCTCCTTTTTTTGCAGCATGCTATGAAAATAACCTGGGTTTTAACATTCTTTCATCACGCAATCTTTTGCTACAGTACCCTTCCTAAAAAAGACGTTGCGGCTGCAAATGCCCCGTCTTGGGCGTGGTCACTGTGCAGATGTGCGTTTTGGAGGCTCCTGCTGCGAAGGCGCCCTGCAGCCTGGCCCCGGCCCTGTGAGGCCCGGGTGGGACGGTGCTGGGTGCTGCGGGCAGCGACCTTGGCAGCTTCGGTGTGGGAGGTGCGGGGCAGCGAGGTGCTGTCTTGTGAGAGAGGCCAAAGCTGGACCAGGCTTTGGACCAGAGCAGTGTGAGGCGTATGTGTCTATATATCTATGACTGCATGCATCCACACACATATGTTCAAATCTACATAAACAGGCCCATACATACAAATACCGACACATACTTACCTGTCGAAGTTTGGATTCCCACAGAAACAGACCCTGAGACGTGTTGGCGTGTAAGTCATTTTGGGAGGTGGAGAAGACTGGCGGAGGAGTGGAGATGAGACAAGGCGGGCAGGCGGCCACTCGGGCTGTCACCAAGCGGGCGTCACTGTTCAGCCAGAGCTTGCTCTTCTGGGCGGTCCGGGAGCCAGTGTGTGACTCGAGCCTCCACATTTCCCACCGGGGCGAGAGATGGGATCTGATTACATCATCTCTGGTCTGCCCCAGGGGAGTTGACTGGGCACGTTCTGAGCCTGCCACTGAGGGGGCTCCGTGGCCTCCAGCAGCAAGAGGAAGACACACAGGTGTTGGCACTCAGTGGGAGGCTGTGGGAGGGGCAGCAACATATACGTGTATGTCAATGTGTACATAGATACACACACAAACATGTATATGTTCACATTGTTAGACCTCTGAATATGGATGTGTACACATATGTATTTTTGCACATCTCTGGAAACTGGACCACTACCTCTTTCTGAAACCTGTTACTCTTTCTTCTGTACGTTTAAATTTTTTTTCTATTTCAATTTACATGCAATATTATTTTGTGTTGGTTTCAGGTGCACAGCCCAGTGGTTAGACAATCATGTCCATTACAAAGTGCTCCTCTTGATATTCCTGGCACCCAGCTGGTGCCATGCATACTTATTATGATATTATTGACTATATTTCCTAAGCTGTGCTTTACAATCCCGTGACTATTTTGTAACCACCAATCTGAACTTCTCAATCCCGTCACCTTTTTCACCTGTTCCACAACCCCCTTCCTCCTCTGACAACTATCCGTTTGTTCTCTGTATCCATGAGCCTGTTTCTGTTTTGTTCATTTATATTGTTCTTCAGATCCCATATATAAGTGAAATCATATGGTATTTGTCTGACTTATTTCACTGAGCATAATATCCTCTGGGCCATCCATGTTGTTGCAAATGGTAAGATTTCATTCTTTTTTATGGCCGAGTAATATTCCATTTTATATATGTACCACATCTTCTTTATACACTTGTCTATTGATGGGCACCTGCATTGCTTCCATATCTTAGCTATTGTAACTCATGCTGCAATAAACATATATGGGCGCGGCAATTCTTACAAGTCAGTGTTCTGGGTTTCCATTTCTGGGTCTGTATCCGGAAAACCCATTACTGTTTTTATGCCTTCAGCCCTTTCCTCCGGCTGCTGCCCTGTCTGGACCGCCCCCTTCTCTTGTTTCAGATTTCTGCCTTGTGACACAGCACACTAAAACCCAGAAATGTCTTCTCTTCCAACCCGTGCCCCTCTGCCCTGGAAAGCTGGCCGGCCCCTTCTTGCAAGGGAAGAATAGCTATTGTTAGATAGATGTCCCTCTCTCGAGATTCCTCTCTGCCTCTGAGCGCCCCTCTGGAGTCCCGCACGTGGAAGCCTCCTGTGTACGGATTACTCGCTTCTGATGAATGAAGGGTCGTTCCTTGTCCTCAGGATGCCTCCGGGCTCTCCAGTAAGCACTGTGTCCAGTGGCTGGTAGTTCCTATTCCACCCCATTAGTGGCACTCTCCAAACCTGTGAAACTGTCCCCCCAGGTTTTTGTGATGTGATGATGGAGGCGGGAAACCGGGGAGACACTCCATGTAGTGGAGACGGATTCCTTAGGTAGCATAACAGACGCCTGACCGAGGACCGGACATCCCGATTTAGGTCGCCGCGGTCTATGACATTCCAGACCGCTGAGAACATGCTCACATTGGAAGCTAGCAGAAGATTTCACAGTCTCACTCTTACCCATGCCCGAAGCAGAGCGAGGAACATGTTTAGGTGTGACGATCATCATATTCATGTAGAAATTGCTTTCCTCTTACTTGTCAAACCGTATCGCCTCCATTAGTCCTTAGACAAGTAAGATTTC